GCAACCCAGGCCACCCCCGCAGCGCTGCTGCAACCCAGGCCACCCCCGCAGCGCTGCTGCAACCCAGGCCACCCCTGCAGCAACCCAGGCCACCCCCGCAGCGCTGCAGCAACCCAGGCCACCCCTGCAGCAACCCAGGCCACCCCTGCAGCAACCCAGGCCACCCCCACAGCGCTGCTGCAACCCAGGCCACCCCCGCAGCGCTGCTGCAACCCAGGCCACCCTCTAGTTCAAGGACATCTTATTTGTGGCACAGCTAAATGATGATGCTCAGCAGAACACTAGATGGCCAGGAGCACCGAAACCAAGCCTCAAACGTGTAAAGGGACTGCAAACCTCCTAGAGACGCGTGGGAAGTGGTGCGCTGACACCGCAGCACCGCACGCTAGAACAGGTGGAGGTCTCGGAACCCGGCTCACTTCTGCCACTCATTTTTGCACACAGGAGCCTGAGGCCCAGCTTTAAAAAGTGTGTTGGCCAAAACACAGATACAGCCCTAATGTTTGTGTAACTGGAAGAAAAAGTTATTATTAGACCCTGAATTCTTTCAGTTGGAGTCATACAAATTTCTTTCTGAATAAGCCCATTCCATAGTTCCATGAGTCCATGCAACCTAAAAGCTAGGTTCTAGCTACCTAACAATTGAGCTGAATTTCTACTTTTGGAGGTGATGGCTGTTTTAAATTATGCATGGGATCTACTAGGGGTGGACTCTGAGGCGAATCCATGCTCTAGCAAAGCGACAGCCCCTCAACAGCTGCCCTCCGGGAGACAGGCAACCTCGCCAGCCACTCAGCCTGCCCAGGTGGAGAAGCCACCCCGTGCACCTGCACGGGCAATGCACACTCTTGATGCGATGACAGGTGTGTGAGGGCGTCTCTGGGAAGATCACAGGCTCCGGGTGCTTCAGGAGTGATGACTGAGTGAGTCAGGTTGTCTGGACCCACGGCCTGGGGCTGGGACACTTGTGCAGTGAATTATTGATGGAGTGCTGCTCTTTGGAGAACGTACAAGGAAGGAGAGACGCGCAATACGGCAGCGTGCACCCTGAAACACTTGCTTCTCACCCCAATGTCTTTATGTTTTAATTGCACTTCTATGTTTGCCCAATTTCAGTTTTTAAGCCCCTGAGTTGATGCTGTTTTGAAGCCAGCTCGTACAGACTCTCAAGATTATCAAACATCCAGAATTTCTGCAAGCCAGTTGTTACACTATTTGCAGCTTGAAATTGGCCACAGTGGGAATATTTTTACACCATGAAAATTGGCAAATGTTATAAACCAGGGTTGTTTTTTAATTTTTCCAGCCAGCTGACCTCCCACTTACCAAGCCATTCTCCACTGACTTTACAGAAGACTTTGCCCCCCACCCCAGAAGGCTATGCTAAATTTGTACTGGGTTGTGGACAGCTGCCCCTTTCTGTCTTTCTAACTTTAGCCTGCGGACCTGTAATCTTCCTGTGGGAACCACTGTTCCTCCACCCTGCCCTCTCATAAACGCTTCCCACGTGCCGCGCAAAGTGGAAATGAAGCCCTCTCGGCAGAAACAGGGACCCCGAGAAGCACTGCTTCCCCGTCAGCAGCACCAGAGGCTCATGGCTTGATGTCGGTTCACGCCCAGAATCAACTGGTTCGCAAAAGCAGAAAACGCAGAAAGTGCTGTGCTCGTCACCCTGCAGTCTGTGGCAAGGAGGAGGCTCTATCTTCCAGCATGGTGGCCACCACCCCTCTGCCAGGCTGCCCACCTGGAGCCGTCCTTCCTGGTGGGAGCACCCCAACTCCACTCCAGATGGTGGGAAGCCTGCCAGTGCCAGCTTCCGCTGGGTGGTGAGAATGTGACTCCAACGGCTGTAACTCTCCTCGGCTGCTTACGCTCGCTGCTCCTTCCCTCACTCTTGACATTCAGCCAAGATCCCTCCTGACTCTAATGATCCCCTGTAACAGCCTTGGAAATCTCCCGCTCACCAGAACACATGCAAGTGTATGCCAGATGAACAGAAAAGAATACTGATCTAATTCCTTTTCCAGGCAAAATGTGCAGTAACCAGAAGCAGGTCAGACCTGCTGGAAATTCTTGCGGGCTGGTCATTTTTGAGTCATATTTACATGACCCTGAATTGCCTGGTTTGGGGTTAATTGCATGGTTTGGCCAGCTGCCTGTGTAATTGGCTCTATTTGGTTTTAGAGGCCAGTAAAACAATGATCTGAGGTCACTGGCTGATTCAGACCAAGGGGCAGCAAAATTGAAAGCAAAGTAAGCGGCCAAATTAACCAATAAAAAGGCCAATTCAACACTACATGGGTAATGTAACCTATATAAATGTCGTGAAAAATGATCACTTTGAAACATGAAATTGTTGATACTTGACTCTTTTAATCTTTAAAAAGTGACAGTTTTATACAGTTCAGCCAAATAGCACATCCCTTGATTTTCAGGCAATCACTAGCATTCCAGGATTGCTGGGGCTAGGAATGGGGGGAGGCCGGTAGGAGACTGAAATAGATCATCTGTCTCCTCACTGCCTATGGTCTCGTTTGTTCTTCCCCAGTATGGACTTTAAGGGAAAGAGTTCTGGTGTAAGACTCGGGAGATCTACATTTTAGCCCCAGTCGACTTCCTGTATGGCCTTAGACAGCTATTTCTACTTTAAGTCCCATTTTTTCCAACTGAAACAATATCATAAACATTCTTAGGATGTAAAAATGAGCTGATGGATAGGAACACAGTTTTTTAAAGTGAAAATTACTACATAGATAATTTATAAAGGCTATACACATTATGGTTATCAACTCCTATTGATATGTGAATGTGTGCACTCCCTCGGGAAAGAATTAATTTTGAATGCAATCGTAACTGATTACCCCTTTGTTCCAGTGTCATTTCTGATAGCAAACAATGCCAAAAGAGTAACAAATTGCCATTGTATTTTCCATTAGTCATCAGAGTAAAAAAGATTTGATAAATAGCAATTTGACATGGGCTCTTTGGGGTGGGAAATCTGTGTTATTGACAGTAGCAAATTACGTGTCTTTGAAAAAGATGGTGTCACGGTCCTTAAAGGTTATTTGCATTGCTGATGAGACATAAGAAAACCCCAAAGAGGTTTTAAAGGCCACGTCTGTGAGAGGAGCAGCCTGGCGTTCTGGCCCAGCCCCGGTGTGGCAGCGTTTGTGCGACTCGCCGGGCAGCTGCCTGGGCGGGAGCCCTCCCAGTACAAGAACCCGCTGCCAGGCTGAACACAGAGGAGAAAAGCAGCTTCCGTCGTGTTCCCTGACTTTGAAGAGACGCAGTGACTGCGCTGGGCACTGCGCTTTGCAGGCTGGGCATGCAAGAAGGTCGAGGGTGTTTTCCTGTGTCCTCTGCTTCTGCCCTCTTGTTGCTCGCACGCAGCTGCTCCTGTTCTCCCGCTCCAGCGGGCAAGTGCCTCCCGCCAGAGACGCTGGCAGCCCCACTCCACTGGCAGCTGTCGCCACAGCCCCGGGAGAGCATCGTGCCCACCAGCGCCAGCCTGAGTGGCACACATCTGCAGAGCGTGCCCTGCCCCTGGCCGCGGGCCTGCGGGCTCGGCGCCCCGCTGTGCAGGAGGCTCCCAGCTGGCGCCACTTGACAGGACCCTCTCCTTCACGTCCGGCCATTTGATTTTTCACCTCTGAGATGTTCCGCTCTGCTGCGAGCAACATGGTGCTTTATAGATACATACTTGTCTTTAAAAGTTCCAGGCTTAGAGAATATTTTTAAAATTCCATTGATGACCTTTCCAAAGTCTAAATGAGGTAGCCCGCAGATGTTAAGCAGCAATATTATTTTAAAGACAAATTAGGCCAGGCGTGGTGGCTCATGCCTGTAATCCTGCAACTCTGGGAGGTTGAGATGGGAGGATTGCTTGAGCTCAGGAGTTCCAGACCAGCCTGAACAAGAGCAAGAGCCTGCCTCCACTGAAAGTAGGAAAATTACCCAGGCATGGTGGCGTGCGCGCCTATAGTCACAACTACTTGGGAGGCTGAGGCAGGAGGATCGCTTGAGCCCAGGAGTTTGAGGTTGCTGTGAGCTATATGACACCATTGCACTCTACCTGGAGCAACAGAGCAAGGTCCTGGGTCTACAAATAAATAAATAAATAAAATGCAAGGTAAAGGAATACCAAATCCACAAGGACATTATGCTAAGTGAAATAAGCCAGTCACAAAATGACAAATATTGTCATGAGGTAGAATAATCAAACTCATAGAGACAGAAAGTAGAATGGGGGGTGCAAGGGGCTGGGGGGAGCGGGGAGTTAGTGTTTCGTGGGGACAGAGCTTCCGTCTTGGATGGTGGAATGTTCTGGAGATGGGTGGTGGTGATGGCATGTATTGAACAGTACACTTAGAAATGGTTATGATGGTAAATTTTATATTATGTATGTATTACCACAATTTAAAAATTTTAAAAGAATACCAAATTGAGAAGTAATAAAGTTCATGGAGTTACCTATAACAGAGATGCTGGGAGTCACAGGGAGTATAAAACAACCCTCCAAACAGAAATATCCCTGGATACCCAAAACAAGCTGTCCTGTTTTTACCGATTGGAAGTTTTCTCTAGGAAAGAAGCTATTCCTAATCACATGTCTAAAATTACTACAGAAGCACAAAGCCCAAAAGGATACGGACATGCAATAATATCATCTCACAGTGCTCTGGTGGGAAAATGAATTGATCAATCCACAGCCTCATGGTTGTGTCTTCCTGTCTACGAGGCTTTGATTTTAGAGATGGGGCCCACGGCAGAGGTGGGACACACGGTGGCTGTCTGATTTGTGGTGGGACGTCCCCTCCACTCACACAACAGGAGAAAGGTCAGCCTGGCTTTTCATCTCACTGTGCCTCCCTCGGAATCAAACTTACAGTTCCTCTCCACGCTGGGTCGAGTCCTTTCATCTTCATTTTGACCAGAATGGAACCAGGATCACGAGAATTCCTCGGGGCTAGTGTTGAAAGGAATTTCCCTCCTTCCACGGCTGAGAACTCACAGTTCCATGCGACCAAACAGCATCTCCTTTAAATATAATAATAATAACAATCGGTGGAAGGAAATCAGCTCAAGAGAATGAGATGAAAGCCAGTCCACAACTGTGCGTCCCAAGATGTTGTTCCTTGAAGCTCTGAGCTCTCTAAGAAGTTACTGCAAACTGAAGCCCTCAGCAGTCTGTAGGGCGTCCTTGTGGAGAGCCACACTCCAGGAAATAAACCAAAAAATGCCTCAGGCTGGATTCCAGACCTGCCCTTGCTTCCCCACTAAACTCCTCACAGCAGGGCTCCTCACAAAACTCCTCCCTCTTTAGGCCGGCCTGCAGCTCTCAGGGGAGCCTCCTGTCAGACTGCTCCTGCGGAAGAACGCAGGTGGGAAGCCTGCCAGGAGGATGCCTTGTGCCCAGGAGGCCTTGCTGGGTGGTCTCTCTGCCCTGTTTCTGCTCCTCGCCCCTCTGCAGGCCTCCTGGACTGCCAGCTTCCTCTCCTTACGAAGCCTCTGCTCCCACCCCTCTCTGTGCCCTCGCTTCCCGCCATGCCGGGTCTCGGGCTCCCAGCTCCCACCTGGCCATCAGACTTGGGTGCTTGTCCAGACCCCGAGACTGTTTGGAAGCTCAGTCCCAATTCTAAGGACTAACTTTGAAAAGATGACCACTGTTCATAGCTTCATGTGGCAGAGAGACAGAAAAAATGAAAAAAGAGGAGCGAGAAAAGAGAAGATGAGAAAGAGAAACTCTCTGATAATGTTTCTTTCCAAAATTAATAGTTAAGTTAGAGCTTACTGTGTGCAAATATAGAAGCAGTTGTCAACAGAGTTCCAGAGAACCAACACGATGACCAAGCATAGCCCACTACTCCTCTACCAAGGTAAGTATCGCTGTCTGCATGCTCAGAGGATGCTGTGAACCCCCTCATTCCACCTCTTGTCCCACAGTCATGGGTTTATTGTAGGGTCAGAAGTTCCTTAAGAATAGGACCTTCTCCTAGTGTATCCCCAGCACAGGGACAAGGCACCTGTCAAACGCTTGCCCAGGGGGTGAACGGACTCATAGACACAGAGAGGGCCTGCAGGCACAGTGGCTGAGCCTGCCTGCCGCCCACGTGGCTGCAGCCAGCAGACTTGGGTTTTCCCCAGAAGGACGTGGGCCCTGGACTGACCCATTCAATGCCGAGTTATGTGGGGCGCGGTGACAACGCCATTACAAGATGGCGCCGATTTCCGGTGGCCCGCCTGTAGTAAACAAGTTCAGCGCATGCGCAGAGTAAGTCCTGGCCCGTTCTATAAGTATGCATATGAAGGATCTTAGCTTGGCCTATCAGTAATAACCCTCGAGCACTTTTAACCTATCCCCATCACTTCCCCCCTTCCTTAGAGTATATAAGTGTGTGAGAGCTTGTGCTCAGGGTCTTCCGCATCATGCAAGTCTAAAGGGAACCCCATTAAAGCACGGTCAGAAGAACTCCTGTTGCCGCGTCTTCCTTGCTGGCGAGGCGGGCCGCAGCAAGGTGGTGGCGAAACCCGGGGACTTTGAAACACTTGAGGCACCAGGCGGAGACGCTCGGACAGAGTGAGTTCAGAACTGACGTGTGGGACGGCCAAACTCCCTGCTTTCCAAAAATGGGTAATATTGCTGGCGGCACTTTTTGTGGCCTATTATCATGAAAGCCTGTATGAATGAGACTTCCGCCCGCGCGTAGCAGCTAGCCAAAGAGCACTGAGTGACTTGCAAGAAGCAAGCTCAGAGAGAAGCAGTAAGGGAGGTACCGCGGTAAAAGCGTGGAAAAAGGAATATAGAGCTAAACAAAGGAAAATGCAGGGGGGAAAGCGCAGCCCGACCTGCAAAGGGAGAGAAAGAGAAAGGGAGAGAAAGAATGTAAGTACCAGGAATAAATAACAAAGGAAAGGACAGGACAGAAGACAGAGGAGATAGCCTTTTCTGTCAGATTTAAAAATTAAATATTTCCTGAGGATGATCCCTTCTTCCTCTTCTCTTACTTCTCAAGTTCAGGGGAGGAGGCGGGGGAGGAGCTAGATTCAGAGGAGGAAGCTACTTGGAGGAGAAGCGGCAAGGTTGTGAGCGGTACCGCCCACCTCCGCATGCCGCCTTGGGAAGGGCTGGGTTTTCTTAGGACTGCCTCGCCGCTGGGGCGATCCTCTGCCCATACCCTGGAAACAGAGGAGCCAGTGTGGGTACTCAGTGGCCTACTCTTGAAAAGTACTCGCGGCCCATAAGCTAGTGCAAAGAGCAGCTTACTCTTGGGCATCTTGAACCTCTCATTCTCCTTGGAATCCTATTTGAGTGATATAGAAAAGGTCTTGGTAATGGAGACTGTTGCATGACCTTAGAGCAATTATCCCAGATGCAGCTTATGGCCTGTTCAAAGAGGACTGCCCTCTCTCAGCTTTGCCTAAACATTGGAGTCTAATTTCCTATGACATAAGCACTGTTTTTTCTTATTCCCTTGCACCACAAGATAAAGCAAGATTTGCTTCACGTTCTGTCCATAAACCCATGACAGCCTGATGCACGATACATGGAGCAGGTTTGCCTCCAGGGACAAGGCTAAACATCCCATATGTTGCCAACTTTAGTGGCTCGTATCCAGCAGTTAAGGCAGAAGTTTTCAAAGGTAAAGAATATACTTATAGGATGATATTCTCTTGTGGTCCATTTGTGATATGCGTAACTTCGCCAAGCCTTATGGCGTCCCTCAGGCTCACTTAAAGGAAAGGCTTGGCGGTCCGCTCCAAAAAGGTGCAACAGAGGAGAGTAGGCGCGTATTCTGGTAGTGCAGATTCTCCCTGCGACAGAAATTGTGCATCAAGACTGCTCCATCCGAAGATGCTTAAAACATTAACGATTTCAAAAACCTGCTAGGGGATTCATTGGCTTCGACCTTTCTATGATTACCACACAGAAACTGAACCATTATTTCAGCTCTAGAGGGAGCCTCACACATCACGTCTCTAGAAACTTTGACTTTCCTGAGGCCCCTAAAGCGCTTTCATAAGGTAGAGAAGCATTCAAAAGGCGCAACTAGTTGCGCATTCACACCATGATCTTTTACTCATCTGTGTAATCCTTCTCCTACGCTCCCTACGGCAGTGCTTGGCAAGCGACTGGTTCCCCTTTTATGGGCTGCACCTCAAGCCTCTCCAGGAAACGGTGATTGGCCATTATCCTACCTGTGTGGCGGAATAGCTTTAAAGGGGTTAGTTTGGCTGTATCCCATTTTGGCGTCACCCTGATAGCATGATTTGTCCATATACTGCCATCAGGTTAAACACCCTAATGTGGCCACTCTTATGCATCGGGCATATGAGATGCACCTTCCCAGGGAGCATTGGGACACCTATATCCAAACATGCCTTGTGCAGTTTGCAATGCGGAAAGCTTATTTCCCAGATCATTACTGCTCACTTTGGGTTGATGCCCTTGAATGTGTATAGCAGATGGCTCTAAACAGTATTGGGACTATGTCATTCAGACCAAGGTTGTATACAAAACGTTTACTATTCTTACTCTCACGCCCTAGTAGGTGTGCCGTAGTCGGTCTGGTTCAGATACCAATCACTGGAACCTATCAATCATCTCGACTCCTCTTATATTGGGTCAACACGCAGCTTAAACATTAGAAACCTCCATTTCACATTCTGCCAAGAGTTACTGGTCTTTTTCCTGTAAATTCGAAATTAGGAATACTATTCAAATAGGAAAACATTTTCATTCAGATATCAGAGCTCATTCCTTGTTACCTGGATCTATGGCTGCGGGAATGCTATGGCAAAGCATCGCGCCATCGCCGCCCTTGGGATGGTCTGATGCACGCCAGCGCATAAGACTTTCATAACTTTATCTGTGGCCAGCTGAAACCCTTACGATAAGTAAAAAACACATAGCATCACCGCTGGCAGATGCTCCGTGAGATGCTACTGCAATGTCCAAGTTGTGCTCTTATCGCACTGTTGTTCCATACGGCGCCGTGAATCCTAGCGGGTTTTCGTCTCTACTATGTGGGCATGGATGTAATCACGTCACCATCTTGGGAAGCTCAGTATGTTCACGTGTCGACACGTGCTTCAGGCGCCTTCTGCACGCTTGGCTGAGAATAGGCATTACGTTTCATTCTGCCTAAGAAGGCTTGGGCAGCCTGCAAGCCCCGGTTATTAAGACGATAATGGCCAACGTTAACCTCAAAATCTTTTCAGCAGTTTTGCACTGCTTGGTGTGGAGGCACCCGTACCGGTCTTCCTACAACCCTCAAGCACAAGGCCAATCGGTGGACGTGCCACGGCAACGCCTCAAATGTTACTTACAAAAAAAAAGGCGGGAGATGCCCTACAAGCTAGGGCTATCACCCAAGGACGCCTTTCCTTTGCTCTCTTTACTTTAAATTTTAATTTAGATGTCAGGGGACGTTCGGCAGCAGACAGGCATGTCACGCTGCCTCGCCACAGAAAGAATTCAGTGAAGTGGAAAGATGTTTGTCTAATCTATGGATAAGGCCCGGATCCGTGTTAATGGAATCCAGGGGAGCTATTGTATTTTTCCACAGGACCCAGGGAATCCATCTGGCGTGCCCACGCGGGAGACTAGAACCGGTGGCCAGCAGCCTCCAGAGCAGCATGGGGACAGTGGGCTAACTCCTCCTGGACGACAGTAGGGATGGATCGCGAGGATGGCCGTGGAGCACGGCTGGGGGATCTGTCAGTGCTTCCCTGCGTTGCCTGTGACACATGACGCCTCAGTTTTCCCCGGCCTACCTGTTTATTGAGAGCCCCGGAGCCCCTGCTTAACTGGAGGGAATAGATCTTTTCCTTGAGGGGACTTTGGTTGTGGTGGGGTTAACGGAAGCCCCTGCACGACTTGGCCCCTGTTCCATTGGTGGCTGGGGGTAATGGCAGGGAATGCTACGTTTCGCTATGCGATCTTTAGCGACTCTCTGAAGGTCTGTGAGGGTTGAATTGGCCGGGAGGGCGAACTCGACATTTGGGCCCTACTTGTCTGTGTTTGGACCCCGTTATAT